AAGGCCATCCTTTCTTCGTTTGCCCAAGGGTCACCATTCCTGGGCTGCATTAGGTGGCTGAAACAGACCAGGGGTCAAGCTGGAGGGGTCAAGCCGGTTGCACTTCCTCCAAATGCCCCAAACCCATCAATCCTGAGACTGGCCCGTCCGCACCGCACTGCACCGGCACGGGGAAAGGGTGAAGCCGTCGGCCCAGGCGCTGGCACAGAAGCAAGCCGCTGCCGAGGACTTGAAGAAACAACAGCAGCTCAGCTCGGAAAGGGGCGGAAATGGTCCTCATTTTCGCTGGGCTCCGGGTCCGAGGAAGAAAGAGCGTTCTTGAGAAGACTTGCTTTGCACGGGTTCTGTTTTGAGGACTTTGGGTGTGTGGGGCAGTAGATGTCTAGTCTATTGCTTCAAAAGGGGTTGGTTGAAATGAGTCTTGCCCATGCAGGGTTCAGGGGTCGGTATCGTTCCGTTGGATTGAAGTTCAACTGCAACTCTACTGGAGATCTAGACATTTTGGAAGACCCAAGTTGCAACAGCCACCAGCCAGGAACTCGAGGCTTCAAAGCTTGGAACACCATGCCTGTGGGATCTCTAACGCAACCCAGGATCTTTGGATCTCACAATTGACGAACCGGTGGGCTTCGACTCCAACACCCGCACAGTCTTGGGGCCCCCCCGCCCTGAGTGTCCCGCGATTTCGCGAGCGCCCCAGGCAGCAGATGATGGAGTGGGAGGCCTTCATCCCTGATCCTCCACCCAAACCCGAGGAGGCGGGGTTCCTGCGCGGGCTGAGGAGGGTGGGGTGTTTGTATATATACGAGTCGCCATCTGGTGATTATGTAGTGGATGACAAGCCATTCCACGCACGTCGAAGTGCTGGTGAAGCTTGATTTGTTGATGAAAGAGATACTCGGCCAAAAAGACAGCCTTTCCATGTGAAGCATGCGAAGCATTGCGAAGCTAGGTGTTGAGCAGCTTCACCATGTTCGGGCCACGTTATTTTCCCAGTCCAGGTGTTGCCTTCTATTTTCCCTGAGAACTGAGAACTGTCAATGGTCAGTGGCTCACTTGTTGCAGCCCGACCTTGGGAAGCTCACCGAGCTTGGAATGAATCTGCTGGGTCCCCTCAGTTGGAGATTCTGGAGATCCGCGCAGAGGAGTTCCTAGTGGTGGCGACCTCAGCGCGTTTCGACCTGCGCCGCACGGCGAAACGCGCCCGTTTTTGATGGCCCCCTCCACCCAAATGGATTGCAGGAGGGGGTGACCTAGGAATTCGTTTTGCTCAATTATATAGATACTTCTTTTGCTCTCCGACGATTTGTCGAACATTTTGGTCAACCTAAGTTGGGGGCGTTGTGAGGGGTCGATGAGTTCGGGGGGATAGGGGCGGGGCCCAAGCAACATTGTAGAACTTGAGGGGTAGAGATACCCCGGGACTCATTTCCACAAAACAGGTGGTTGCCCCTGCAATGATTTCTTTTTTCAATGCTTTTAATGATTTTGGAATTGTATAAATTTAGAATTATTTTGTAATATACATATACTAAAAATTAACTTCTTACTCTCTTTTTAAAATGCTTCTTATGATTGAGGGGGGCCCCCCCCTCAGGCCCCATCGTTACCGTATGACGGGGTCCTCGTCCTTCGACCGACAACGTGGCCGTGCTTTTGACGAGCGGCGTGCTTCTCCCGGAACCCGGTGCCGTCGTCCAAAAGCGGGAACGAAACCGGAAGCGACCGTGGTGAGGCGCTGGAAGATGGCACCGTGGTGCCCATCACCGAGGAGCAACTTCCTGCCTTGCAGGAACTGCTTCTTGGGCCGAACAGCTGGGAGGTGGTGGAGCTGGGGCAGCTGGGGGGTTTTCAGCCGAACTGACCCCAGTGAACTGGTTGAAACGTGAGGAGGGTGTTTTTTGCCGGTTTTCAATCAATAGGAGGATGCGCATCCTCATTCTGAAGAAGTTCACATGTCTGTTTGTGTGTATGAAGACCCATTCAACAAGGCTGTCTTCTGATACATTATTTGTAATTATTTGCATACGCCTCTGGATGAGTCCTCCCTTGTGCCTTCACACAACAGTCGCCAGCCTTTCTTCTCTGGATGGGAAGCTAATGACAAGAAGCTCACGAGATCGACACATGCTGGTTCTTCATGGCCAGAGAAGATCTCCAATGGCCCAAACTCATGTCATCTCATATCCACCTATCATTTGTTCATGGCTTCTCTTTTCGCCGGTAAGCCGCCCGCGGGATTGGTGTGGGTGGCTTGGCCGCGCTGGGCTGAGGTTCGCCCAGGAGAAACCCGGGGGGGGAAAAGCTGTTGGCGAAGCCGGTGGTGCAACCTCCACCTGAAGGAGTGCTCAAGGGGTTGGGTGATGAGATTGATGAGCTGCAACAAAGGAAATTCAAGACTCGACCAGGAAATCAAACGACGACTTGTGTTGGCAAAGTCAGAACTAGCTGGCGGAACAACATGTTCAAAAATAATTAGTCACAAATCATCGCAAATCCAAAAAGCATGCACTTTATCTAACTTTCTGTCACCAGCAATTGGTACAGCTTGAAGTCCATCTTGGGACACATCCGCCATGAGTCACCACAGCCTTCCTCCATCACTTCCGCTGGCTCCAGGTGAAGATGGTGAGCCGAAGATTGTCTTGGAGAGCTTTCGCGTGGGCGTCCCTGGGGAAGGCAGCTCCGACCGGCGCTCCGACCGGCGGCGCGAATGGGGTCTCACAGTCTCCGGTTCCAGCAGCCGTGTCACGTCACGTGTGGCGCTGGTCGTTCTCCTGCCGCGGAGTCGGAGGAGCTGGATGACTCCGTGACTATCCGTGACTCATGGGATTCAAGGAGCTTCTGAGGTTGTACTTTCAAGACTAAGTGTTGAAAAGAGGATGACTCTTCATCCCAAGGAGGAGTCCTCGTCAGACTTCTCATGAACACACAGGTGTTGGAGTGTTGCATCATGTTGTTTCCACCTTTGCCTCCCGCCACCCGGCAGGGCTGGAGCCGGCGGAGGCTCCGCCTCAGGAGATGAGGGTCGACTCTGTGGTGCTTGTGTGTGCTCGTAGCGTTTGATTGTTTTTTATTCCATGATTGTTCTTTCTTGGCATTCTACCCAGTCAAACCTAGTCTTCGAGATTCCCTTTCCTTCATTCTTCTTCCTTCATTCGTTGTTCTTTTTCGCTGATTTGCAAAGCATTTAAAGAAGACCTGAAGGGCCTGCCGAGTAATAGGGTGTCCTGAGACACACCCACTTGGTTGTGTTTCTCATCGCAAGCGGGAAGACGACGAAGAGCAGATGGGACAGATCAGTCCTTGAAACACAAGCTGAAAACCTCAAGTAGCAATATCATGCAATATCAGGATCAGGATCGTCCAAGTATGCCCCTTCTGGTTGGCCTCTAGACAGATGCATCTTGAGCAACTGGAACATCCTGGACACAATGCACTACAGATGTGACACCTGACAGATTCCACATACTTGAATCTTCCTTCGATTTGTGGTTTTGGACGAACACATAATCACCCTGAAACACAAACGCCACCGAACGCCACATCGACGAAAGGAGGATGTTCCCGCCTGAGCATGAGGTGCGGGTCCCTGCGGGTCCCTGGCCAAGAGCAACTGTTCAGTAGATGGCACAGCACCAAGACCAGTTTTCTACATTTTCCCACCATAATGAGTTAACAGTTAACGTGTGATTTTATGTTGAACAATGGGATCATGTGAATTGCATGCCTGTGGAACAATTCAACAGCTTTACGCGATCTACGTAGGAGATGGGTAGAAGGAAGCAAACACTTTTCCAGCATCAGTGTTTTCAACCCTCTGGAACATCCTGGAACTCTTAAACTGTCAAAGGGTTTGCTTAGAGTCAAAAGTGCGGATCCCTGTTCTTGGCCACACAATCCTTCCAGGTGTGGCATGCCGCCATGGCGATCGCTGTGAACCAATACCGTCCACGTCAGCGGAGGTTTATCAAGAACACGCACCGTTTGGTTCCAACAAGTTCTGAAGTTTTTCAGCATATATGCTGGATTTGGCAACTTCTTGGCATTCCTTTTTCCCGCCAGCATATTCTTTGTCTTGGCATCGATGTGGCGTGGTAATTGATGAGAAGTCCTTTTCCCGCAAGACTGCGGATGGGACTTCATCCTCTTTCTCACCTGCATTGTCTGTATTCTCCAGTTGAGCGCGGCAGCACCTCCAAACCCGAAGCGTGGCCCCCTATCCCTGGGTGTTTTGCAAGAAGACCTCACCTTCCGGAGGAATGGCTTACCCTTCGGACAAGTCCGACACACCCCCGACTTGCTTGGATCATTTGTTGGAGAGGCAGAACCTCCCGGGTTGAATTCACATCATCACTCTAATCATACTTGTCATGCAGGAGGTGCATGGCAGATGGCAAGAAGCAATCTGCAAGTTGATGTCGTGCACCGTTGGTTTCACCAATCAGATGTGTACTGCATGACATGTAAATCGACGTGGCGCCGGCTTTCAGAGTACATCACGGAGCACTGGGCCGCAAGGGGATTTGCGGTCAAGCTTCCATAGGCCCCACTCGGCTGTCAGAGCCTGTCCCCCTTAGTAGCCTGTCTGGATGTGTGAAAGGGTATATAAGTTGGACACTTTACGGTCTCTGCAGAACTCCGGCCCCAAATCCCAAAGACCATTTTGGGCAAAGCCCCCACAAAAAGAATCAAAAAGACAGCCATTTGGGAATTGAGCTGTTTGAATCTTGAGGGGCTTCACTTCCAAGTTTTAAGCCAAACGACTTCAAACGTCGGGTGATGGATCAATCTTTAATAGATCGACCGCTTAGCCGTGCTTGGCTTTTTAAACATATTATTTTCGAGAAGTCCTTTTTGACGTCCACCAAATTGGTTGACTGGTCGGTATTTGGCAGGTGCTTTTAGCCCTTTTAGCCCTGCTCCTTTTCTTCGTTTCTGAATTTTGACCTTGAAGTCGTTCCAAACGGTACATTGCAATCTCTCCCTCGTGTGGCATGTGGCTCAGACGCATCCAGACGGTTTGTTTCCGACTGGCGGCCAGACGCCTGTCAAGGTGCAGATATGTGGGGGATTCACCGGATGCTGAAGCTTCTTGATCCAGGTTTAGACTTGTAGCAACAGGACACGAGGTGGATTACAACGAATTTCCCTTAGAGTGGAATTGTGATGGAGGATATATAGCCGTGGACATTTAGCATGTGACTTCGCCTTGGACATCCTTGGACTGGGCGAAGTCACCAGTCCATTTCGACGTCTTTGTGGGCATCCCACAGTGCTGGAACAATGGCTTACCTGTTTGAAGTTGACAGATTCACATGGCAAGTGTCCGAAATTGACCCGATCCTCAAGGAAAGCAGGGACTATTTATAAGTCACCAATAAACACTGACAAAGTGAATGACGATAAATTTCTATTCATTCTGGCAATTTAGTTTGTGTTAGAGGAAGTCCTTTTTGATCCAGGCCCTGGAAGGGCCCTGTCACCAAAGCTGCAAAGCTTGGGAACTGCCATAGCAAGAGTTCAATTCACTCTTCAAGATACAGACCGGGGACATTCGGCGGTGACTTCCAGTCGCTACAGTGATCTTTGGAATTACTAAAAGCCCTTTGGTCCGTCCACGTACCACGTCCGTCTCCGCGGCACCCCGTACCAGTCATGGCTCGATTTGGTTCTTTGGACGAACTACGAAAGAAGGAGCACGTCACTGGCGCGACGCACGACGCACGACGCACGGCACGTGCCGTGACTGCGCCGCCAGATTTGCGCGCTGGGCGCTTCGGTGTACGTATGGCCGGTATGGCGTTGTGGTTGGTCCTCAGCTTTGGTCGTGGAAGCTGTGAAGCTTTTGGGACGAACGTAAACATTGGACGCTCATTGCGTTCAACTTTTATCCAACCAGTTTGAACTTACTGCCCAAGGCGCAGACGATTCCTTTCTGAGAGAAAATACACACAGTGAACATTCATGAGTCTATTTGGATATACAGTGACACAGTGACATACAGCCGTTTCCAGAGCAGAGTGGTTTCTTCGTCCAACTTCGCCACTTGCGTGCCACTAAGCCTCAAAGTTCCTTTTGTTTTCGACTATAAAATTGCCCGGATCCAGAATGGTTTCACATCTCCACAAGAAGACGGGGGGGTTGTATTTATCAACAGTCACCACGAACGCCTCCAGGCACGAATTGTTGGTGCTGAATGGGGGACGATCCCATCCAAGGCACAGCGTAGGTGATGACCTTCCGTTGTTGACTTCGGCATGTTCGCCCTGTGTTGCTCCAGGAGGAAGGGGAAGAAAATGACAAGAACTCCAATAGCTACGTTGGAGGAGACAAGAGGTGCACCGGGCGGTGACTTGCACATAGACCTCAGACCTCCAGTCCCACCAGCGCGCCATGGCGGTGTCACGTTGCTTTGCCCTCCAAAACGCCCCGGAAAAGCGCGGAAACTGTTGGGTCCGCCACCTCGCCTCGTCGCTCACCGCCGAACCTCGCGCGTTCTCGCAGTGGCTTGGCCGTGGAGCATCCGGACTCCAGCAAGGATGCCTGGCAACGTCGCTTGGCGCCATGGAATGAAGGGAGGCGCAAGGATCGCGCGAGGATTGGCACGTAGGGTGTGATGTGAGGTGGATGAGCACATGTGCCAGTAACTGAGCTACTTTGGTTGCTGCAGCATTGCAGTTCATAGATGGCTTGAACATGCTTGAACTGGCTTCCACGTATTGTTGTTTTGTTTTGTTTTGTTTTTTTTTAATGAAACTTCTACCCATTAGTCAGGGCAAGGTACACTTGAGTGACATACTGAGTGTGCCAGACTCGATCCAAGGCATGCAACAGCTCGCTTCGAGCAGTGAAGGTGGTACAGGCACGCCGCCCGAGTGATCGTTTTTTACCTGGCAGTTTTTTTTTTTTTTTTAAGAAATAGATGAAAGAGGGGAACTGACGAACCGACGAACCAGGATGAACCCTTGAAAAGTTCTGAAGAAACTGAGAAATGGGCTTGGATCGACTGAAAGATTTGGAAAGACCTCTGTGGAAAAGGCGAATGAAGGCTTGGGGTGTTTTCCTCCCATGGGAAAGGGCCAGGAAGCTTCCCACAACGTCCTTTCTATGAAGGCTGGGTTCCTCCCAACCATTCTCGACTCCGAAAACGCTCCCACCGAAACTACGGTCCGGCCTCGACTCCGAAAACGCTCCAACTCTCTGACGGTAAACGCGACGGCTCCGACTCTCCGGTGTTTGCGACGTGTCTTTTGTTTTTTGCGACTGGTCCATCTCTGGCCGAGGCCCTCTCCCCTCGGATCATCGCAACGTGACGGTGTATCGGAATGGCTTCACGGCCCCTCGGCGCCGGCGGTAAGGGCGGGACCCCACCGAGATCGGCCGGGCGAGCCATCTTCGGCCCGTTTTGGTCGGTTCATGGGGTGTGCAGCGGTCCCCAAAAAGAGACCGTTTGACTTTTAACTCGATGTTGCATTATGTGTGATGACCTTTCTTCCTTTAACCAGGGGCCTTTCATGGCCCATAACAATGCCGGCCTGCAGGAGTTGAACCCATAACAATGATGTCACCTCATGTCACAGTACGTAGTACATTTGCAGTTTTCTTCAAAAGATCATTCTTTTCTAAAAGAACCTCTTCAGAACTTGCGGACCTTCGATATCTTCGATCCGGTCTTGCGGACCCCTTCAGAAACTCCTCCTCTCGTCCTCTCCGGGAGACCACCGCCGCGAAGCGCCGAGGTGGGCGACGGACCCTTCCGACCGTTGTCGGATCCGCTCAACAAGAAATTCATGGACCGCGGCGGTTTGTTTGTTCTTTTTTCCTATGCCAGCTTGGTGGGTGAAATCCATGGTGGTCTGGGTGGGAAACAAAGAGAAGTAGAAAGTCTGAGCCATGTAGGGCATATATAGCTCGTATCTTTGTGATCTTTGTGAGGCTTTTTGAACGAATTAATTACTCATGATAGTAGTGTGGCTCCTGATTTTTGGACAAGACTATAGTACTTACATTAAAACATGTTCGCGCGAAAACCGGGATGCACGATAGATATGAGACTGCCTGCACATGCAACGTATGCATCAGGCAACAGTCCCTTCTTTTCGGGTATGGACAGTGTAGTTTGTCGCTCAATGCATTGAAAGACGACGCTTGACCCCGTGTGAGACTTGAAGAATATCTCGCGAACTCCCACCAAAAGGGGTCGGCGTATTTCAGGTGGTAAACCTGGTAAGCGCACACTCTTTCTTCTACATTTCTTTGGTATATGAGAACTGTGAGTAAGCCTAGAGCAGCTTCGTTTTCATCTACTCAGAACATATGGTGCTTCAGATTCCTTCCAACACATGGCACCCGGCGATTTCCTTCACAACCGGTCATCCTCCAGGATGAGATGGCTGCCGGCCGCTGCCCCGCGGAACTGCAGGCGCACGTTGATGCATTGATTCCGGAGCCTCTCAGATTGAACACAGTTTCAAGGTCCACATGGATTGCTATAAATGGGTGGGGATGCCTTTTCAACACAGAAGCGGACGGACCTAAGATATTTGTGTTCCTTTTAAAGGGTCCTATTTAAAAAGACACACTTAGATTGATGATCTTCCACTCTAGTGATGACATTACCGGTTTAGAGCGCTGCCTGAAGACCTGAGAAACAGCCCTGTGAGGGAACGGAAAACTTTATTGTTTACATCATCTGATCATGGATCTGCAGGTACACACTGGGACGTCTCCCAATGCTTCCCATCTTGCTGCCTGTTGTGTTAGACCAGGTCAGCAGCAAGATGCTTGGTCCCCCTGCCTGTGGGTTAGAGCACTTCAGTAACTGAATTAACTTGCATGGGATGGTGTCCTTTGGTACAGGTGTAACCTTTTGTGCGGTGGGGGTCTCTACTTTTTTTCTCTCTTCCCTTCTTCCGGTCGTTTTGACTTCGCTGCGTGACGAATGTCTCCGTCCACCGGGTGATGGTTGTTTTGCGGATCTGGATTCGCCACGTCCTGCGGATCAACGCGTGGAAAAGGAACGCCGGAAAGCGCGCCACGTCGGTGAATCTTCTTCTTTTTGTTGGGTTTCTGGGGAAGTTTGGAACCAAGACGTGACACCACCAAGACGTGGCGGGCGAATGCTAGCAGATGCAGATGCGGCTAGTTCTCAGCTTTGTTTTTGTTTGAACACAGCATCGATCATGATCCCCTTCTGAGGTTCAGGTTCAGATGCTGGGAGGCTTCACCCCCCCAAAGGAAGTTGGTCATGTCAACAGTCTTTCGAAGGAATTGAGATGATGTTCCCTTGGTTTTTGCATGCTTTTACCAGTTCTTGGGTGTCTCACACTCACCTGGTGCAAGAGTGTGTAGGACTCAGTGATATCCTCCGCACCGCACGACGGAGAAAATGGCACGAACACATCCGGGCAGAACTGTCTCCGGCGTGTCGAACGACACACGGCCAGGCAGGATCGGAGCAAGTTCATGTGGCCGTGCATGACAAGCGTGGGGAGGATTACAAGGCGGGCGGGCGGACGCCACTTCCACCGACTGATAAAGGGGCGTACTGAAGCAGATGGGGCAGATGAAGGGACAATAAGGGACAGAAGTGAGATGTGGAGGATTGGACGTGTTCGACCGCGTGAAGGTGGAAGTTGCAATCTTCATGAACCGAGGTATCTATTGGAATCATCAGACTTATGAAGATCATTTTCCGAATACCAAACAGGTGGTGTCATCCACTTTCATGATCATTTCAGGGAGTGTAATTAGAGGACGTCAACATCGAGGATATGTGTATGATGGAATGAGGGAAAATAGAGAGCGCGGACCCTTGAATAAGTTCCACGTAAATTCACAAGCAAGCTTAGCTTACGTGGATTTTGAATATTCGGCCACCACGTGAGCATGCTTCACACATTTCCTAGCTGCTATCCTTTGGATCAGTTCGTAAGTTAGAAGTCTTTCCCACTGCAGGTCTTCAAATCGATTTTCCTACACTTTTACAAACAGAGAACCGTTAAAAAAAACCCTTGCGGCACTAATGCTTATTGTCAAGAACCAGTTTGCGGGGTTACTTCCCAGAATCGAAAAGGATGTCATCAAGTTCTGCCCTTAAATCTTAATGAGAAACGAGGTACAAAACGACCCAGGACACAAGCTGACTTCAGTTTTCGCCGCGGCCACTGGTTCAATACCAGGGCCCTTGAGCCACCCTTTTGTGGAGAAAAGACGCTCTCCGTCCGCTGTTTCTCAGTGGTAGCGGAGCTCTCTGGCGACGGCCAGGGGGCTCCGGGCGCAGGACTTCTTGAAGGCGGGGGACGCCCCGACCCTTTCTTCGCGACCTCGAGCTCTTCGTCCTTGAGACAGTAGAGGGTGACTTGCGCCCGGCAGTTGGCCTTTGGCTGAGCCCACAGTTTTCGTCACTTTGACCTGTTTTTCTTCATCTACCAGTTCGCTGGACTTCATTTGGTCGTGAGCACATGAGCACCAGACCTCAAAGGACATGGCGAGGCGGCAATGGCACGACCTCTTCAACTCCACCGGCGGCATCACCCGCCGGCAGTGCTACGCCTGTAAGGCCTATGACCCCACTACAGCCTGATGCTCAACGACCTTCTGCAGAATCACGACTGCCCGATCAAGATCGCCTTGAATTACAAGATCCCTGGGCTGGAGCGACACGCTCAATGGCAATGCCTGAGGAACCACCTCCGAGATCACCAACGGCTCGGGACTCAGGCAAGAAATATGTTGACTACAAGCTTGACCCAGCACCTTCATGGGATGGCTCTCAACCTGAAAAGCAATTCAAGGAGTTTCATCGCAACTTGTTGCTTTGGTTGGTGGAGGCCGAAGCAAGGCTTCCACACAATTTGATCGGGAAAAGAATCATCGACAGCATCCCCATTGGCAGCAAGCTCGGCGCCATGCTTGCCCACTTGACTGTCGATGAGATCACTGCAGAGAATGGCCACAAGCAGATCCTGAGACTCATTGAAGAAGCTCATGAGTACTTGAAGGATCAACGACTAGAGCAAGCCTTCGATGAGGCCATCTTCCGTGGCCGCCGCGAACGCGGCATGACTTTGACCGCCTTCTTGACCGGAAAGAAGGCAGCCTTTGCAGAGCTTCGCAAACAAGGACTTGACCTGCTCGCAAGTTCACCAGGTCGACACCTTCTTGGACACCTGATCCTGAGGCAGGGCGCTTTTTCTCAGGATCAGAGGCAAAGATTGAAGGTGGTGACCAATGGCTCGATCGACTTCAGAGAGATCGAGTCAGCAATCCAGAAAGTGTTTGGCGACAAGCTGGATGAGTCAGCGCACTATGACCAGCACGCTGGAACACCCCGCCGATGGAGGAGCAACACCTTCTACGGCGACGATGCCGATGAAAACTATGAGGATGACCTCATGGATGATGATGGCAGCGGCATCTACGCCTCCGAATGGCCGGAGGATGAAGGTTTGGAAGATTTGATTTGCCTCAACGACAACTATGAGGCCCAGCTGATCTTTGCCCAAGACCTACCAGGTGTGATGGAGGAATCTGAAGCTCTGGAAGCTTTGGGTTGGCAGCTTGAAGAAGTTTTCTATGAGACCCAGCACCGCTTTGGAGGCAAGGGCAAAGGCAAGGGCAAGAAAGGAAAAGGCAAAAGCCATCGCACTTTTGCCGGTGGCTCACCTCATCATGGAGGAAAAGGAGGCGGTTACCTTGAACACCGCCGGAGGTTGCAAGCAGCAAGAAATGGCCGTGGCTTTGACAGACCATGGCAGCAGCGGCAGGGCTCACGTCTTTCGATCAATGAGCTGAAGGCAAAGACCCGATGCCACCAGTGCAAACAATTGGGACACTGGAGCAAAGAATGCCCGCACAGAGGCAAGACACCTTCTTTGCCTTCCCGAAGTGCTTCAAGTGTAGCTTCAACCACTGGAGCAATGACCACTGGCTTTTTCACTCAACCGCCGAAGGCGGCGGGATTTGGACAGTTCATGACCACGACAGTGGATCCACCAATGCTTGAGCAGTACATGAGCACTTCGCTTTCCGGATTGTCGTTCGTGTTTTTGGGCATGCACACCTCCGATGGCACCGCATTAGTTGACACGGCAGCACAACATGGACTCGTCGGCATGAACACCCTCACCAACCATGACCATTTGTTGAAGACCAAGTTCGGGTTGCAGGTTCAGTGGTCAGAGGAGTCCGGCGGTTCCGTGCGAGGAATATGTGGCCAAGAAGAGAAGACACAGATAGCCTATGTCCCCATTGGCCTCGCAGGGAAATCCGGAGTCCTCAGGGTGCAAATCGTGCCGGGTGACATACCGTTCCTTTTGCCAGCTTATTTTCTTTCAGAGTTGGGAGCTGTCATTGATATGGGGCATTGCACCATCATGTACATGACCATTGGTGTGAAACAAAACATGAAGAAGATGCACACCGGTCACGTCGCCGTCTCGATCGTTGAGTTTGGCAGCGGCTTCAACGCACCACATGCCACTTTGATCACCCGCAGTACTGCCTGGTCAAGAGAACCTGTGCCGTGGTCAGCATCCGATCCACCTCATGCGCACGGCCGTACAGCGCCAGCCATGGGGCCGGTGGCGACGCTTGTTGCTGCGGCTCTTTGTCTCCAATTTCCTGCGATCAGCGCAGGAGCTCATGGAGTCCACTCGGATGCCTCAGCTGCGGGATGCACGCCGCTTGCAGCATCGACGAGAGCGGCTGGAGAAGGAGGCCCTACGTTTGGCAGTGCAGGAGCAGCTGGTGATCAGAGAGGCAGCATCTTCGTCAGCACTACCCCAGGCAGATCTGACGACTGCCAGGGAGGAAGACCGTGTCCGACCTCGAGCCTGTGTGAAGGGACACGGCAAGTACCTGATCCCGTGCCTCGAGAAGAGCATCCACTGCTCCCATGCCGAGACCTCCCATGGAGCAAACAAGTATGGCACCTTCCACAAGTGTGCACAATGCCACTTACGTCAGTGACGGAGCTCCATGTGTGGAACCAGACGCTGGTCTTCATCCCGGACGCCTTCTACGACAAGAAGAACACCAACAAGGCGACCAAGGAGAAGAAGAATCCAGAGGAGGAGTCACCGAGCAGTCCTCCAAAGAGATCAACGGCCTACAAGAGCAGGGCCAAGCCAGTTCCACTGCCTCGGACTCCCCAGGATCAAGTCAAAGACGAGCTGGACGAAGTGGACGAACAACAGACTTCATGGCACGATGTCATGGCCAGCGAGATCCTCAGCCTGAACACATCAGCTCAGAGCTTCAACATTGGGGAGGATGTCTGGATGCAGGGTGTGCCACGCCAAGCTCATCAACAAGATTGCCACCTATGCCCAGCTGGCGAGCAGGGAATGCTGACACTGCATCGCCGCATGCCGACCCAGAAGCTCATCTGGAAGTGCGACAACCCGGCATGTCGAATGAACTGGAGCGCCATTGCCAACCAGGTGGAGCCAGCTCATGGCACCTACCTGTGCTTCCGCTGCAACCGCCAGGAGATGCTGGTGATCAATGGAGATCCGGATCCTCAGAGTACGGAACTCCAGTGCACCTGGGAACCATGCAGCCAGCAGGCCTTCATGTTCGAGATGGACTTGGCCTACAAGAAGATGGGACCGTTCAGCATCGAGAAGTTGCAGAACTGAACGGATGGCTGCACAGCCTTCAACGACAAGAACTCCTACCAGAGACCTTCATGGACCTCATGGAGACCCTGGAGTTGGACGTGGCGTCAACTTATGTAACCACCGGATGTGGTGAATGTGTGAAAGGAGTTGCACCGGTTTCAACATGGCCCACTATTAGCCGACGGGTGATCCTCACCCACAACGGTGAAGCTTGGAACGCGGTCAGCGTTTCCTCGGTGCCAGGTGACAACTACTTTCTTGGCGGCAACGTCCACTACTTGGTCCTCTATGAGTTCATGTCTGACTTCCTCGATTACCTGGTCACAGCTGAGTGCGACATGGAGGTCACTCTGACCAAACCTATGAAGGCCGAGATCAACCAAGGCCTAGATGACCTGCTCGGAGACCAGACGGTGTACTGGAATCTATGGGCTGAGGAAGAGACCACAGATGACGTGGCCGAGATCTATGGCAGCCTCCAGGACACCAATGACGCCATTGTCGAGCTCTACAGTCCACCACGGGTCGTGGAAGAAGCTCGAAGAAGAGGACTCAGGGCAGAGCTTTCAGTAGACCTATGCACTGGCTATGACCTCAAGGGCTCCAAGACAAGGGAGCATGTGAGAAAGGAATTGTCAAGACGCAAGCCGAAGCTCCTGGTTTCCTCACCTCCGTGCACCAAGTTTTCACCCTTCCAGAACCTCAGGAAGAACTGGGAGGATTTTGAAGGAGAATGGGAAGAAGCCGTGTCCCATGTTGACTTCTCAATGGTCTGCCTTGAAGACCAACGGAATCGAGGAGACCATGGACTACATGAACATCCAGACACGGCTACATCATGGAATTTGCCTTCGGTGAGGGACTACCTCAGCCACGACGAGATCATCTTGATCAAAGGCCATCAATGCCGATTTGGACTACGAGCAGAAGATGGTCTGAACCGGAAGTCAACTCTCTTTGCGACTTCATGCGACGCCATCGCAGTGAATCTCCAACGACTATGCCAATGTGAAGAACCTCATCAGCAGCTGGTCAACGGCCTTCCGAAGCTCGCTGAACAATATCCACCAAAGTTGGTTCAGGCCATAGTCGATGGGCTCATTCAAGATTGGGTTGACTCACAACATGGCCGACCTCAACGACTACCAGATCGTGGCGACATGGAGCAATGGGCTGAAGAACTTGGCCGACAGGAGTTTCAATGGAGGCAATTTCACCAGAGCGCTGTCTGGGTGTCTTCAAACACAACAGCAATCCCTCGACAAGGACCTGGCCACCGCACTTTGCTCTGGACATGGGCCAGGAACATTTGGGACAACAAGTGGATTCAATTGGAGCGTGCGAGAAGTGGAAAAACACCCAAGCTGGAGGTGAACTACAAGGTCATCATCGTGCTGTATCACCACCCGGAATTGTCTCAGCACTTCGCAGAGATTAGCACGGTGACCACCGCAGAGAAGTCAATGGTCCTGAGAGCTCACATCAACTTGGGACATCCTTCAGTCAAAGAGTTCGCCCGGCTCCTCAAGAATGCAGGCACCAGGCCTGATGTGATACAGTATGTCCTCAAAGAGTTTTCCTGCGAGGGATGTGCCAAAGAGAAGAGGCAACCTACAAGATTGCCGGCGGCTACTCCGAAGACCTATGACTTCAACGTAGTGATCGGCGTGGATCTTCTGTTTGTCTTTGGAGCTGATGACATCAGCGAGTTGCCCATCCTGAACGTCACCTGCCAAGGAACTTTGTATTCCACCTTTGTTCTGGTGCACCCAACTCGCAGAAGCAGCAATTTGGTCTGGCAGGCCTTCACGGCCAATTGGCTTCGAACGTTTGGTGCCCCCTCGTTCATCATCATGGACCAGGGACTTGAGTTCATGGGTGCATTTGTTGAAGGTTTGGAGAACCACGGCATTGTCCCCATGTGGATTGATAGAGATGCACCTTACCAGAACGGCATCACAGAACGCCGAGGAGGTCTTTTCAAAGAGGTGTACTACAAAAGCCGTGAGCTCAGACCTCCGACTGACATCGAGGAGGTCAAGACTTTGGTGCATGAAGTTTCCTGGGCACTCCAAACCATGACAAACAGAAGCGGCTACTCACCAGCACAGCGTGTTCTCGGCAAGCAGCCCTCACTGAACATGGACAGCCTCTCCAACATGTCCGAGTATGAGGTCTCCATCACCAATGATGCAGCATGGGCCAAGGCGGAGGAATTGAGACAAGCTGCAAGAAAAGCTCTGATGATGACCGACTCCAAAGAACGACTTCAACGAGCAGTCAGAGCAAGACCTCGCAGAGCCCGAGAAAAACATGTCTTCCAAGAGGGCGAGCCGGTCTATGTCTGGAGACAAGGGCGCAGAGGCTTTCAAGCAAAAGTCGGACCTGCCTTCGTCATTCTGCAGAAGGGCGATAGTGTCTGGGTGAGTCGGAGAGGAGAGCTGTGGCGCTGCAATCGAAGTCAGGTGTTCCCCATGGGCAACCTCGAGAAGCAGGGGATTCAAATTGTCCCACTGGAACTGCTCAAAGCCAAGGAGAAGCTAAGGTTCCACAGCGAGAAGTTGGGCTTCGTGGATGTCGAAAAGGAGGGTGACCCACCAGATGAAGATGATGTGATTCGGGTGCCTTCAACACCAGCACCAATGCCTGCTGGCCAAGCAGACATTGTCCGGAGGGTTCCTCAAACACCTCGAGGACCCCCCCGAAGGACAGGCACCACGAACACCAGCACTACCGGCTTCAGCACCAGGCACACCAGCACCCGTTCCTATGACACCGGCGTTACCAAGGACCAACAGGTCCAGATCACCACACCAAGCACGGCAGAACAAACCCGAGACTGTCATTGACTTGGAGGAGAACACACAAGCATCACCGAGCAAGCCCACGGCAACAGCACCAGATTCGGCACCGGCCATAACAGATAACCAGCCAGCCAATGATGGTGATGAGCTGTGGAAAGCCACAGTGGAAAACCAGTCAGCCAAGGAAGCAAGTTCAGCATCTTCCTCGGCTGCAAGCCCAGGACTCAGACAATGGGTCCGATATGATGTGGATGCAAAACGATTCAGAGCATCCAATTCGAAAGGCCCCCTGTGGGGAGATGTGATCCGGCGAATCACGCTTGACCTGGACACTGACAAGGTGATCCGAGATGAAACCATTCACCAAGGCATGACGGCGCACCAGATCCACCAGAAGCTTCCCAGTGGTGTGCAAAGCATTGAAACCACCTTGATCTACCAGCCAAAGCCAGGACATCCCGATCCAGGCAAACCATTTCCAGATGAAGCAACAACAAAGACCACGACTGCCAGACCAGCTCGAGACAAAGAACCAGAAGAAGATGCTCGGCTGACAGACACTGGCATGAAGCGATCGCTGGAAGAACCGGCACCAAGTGAAAGAACGGCTCACAAAAGCAGAGTCTTTGGAGTTTGGCGAGCTGACACCAAGAATGAATGGGGTGACAAGACCCTCTACCCAGTTGTGGCCAACAGCCGGGACATTGACGCTTTCAAGCTGCTGGACAAGAAAGACTGCTACTATGCCCTGAAAACTTTTGAAGATGAGTTTCCACTCCACTACCTCACCAAGCAGGGCAAAGAGCTGAATGAGAAGAACCTCACAGCAGCAGAAAAGAAGCTGTTCAGAGATGCCAAGCTCTTGGAGATCAGCAACCTCGTCAACTCCGGAGCCATCGAACTGGTGACCGATCCAGCCAAGCTGAAAGAGATCCGTGAGACCCTCAAGCACCGGATCATGCCAAGCAGATTCCTGATCACGAAGAAGACAGGAGAAATTGGTGAAAGCTGGAAGGCAAAAGCCAGGTGGATTCTCCTAGGCCACCGGGATCCAGATAGCCTCCAACTCGAGCGATTCGCTCCAACACCATCCACCACCACCGTGATGCTGGTCCTTCAGATCATCGCTAGCCATCACTACCACCTCATCGTGATGGATGTGTCCAGTGCTTTTGGACAGAGCGATCAAGTTGAAAGGGAACAAGGTCCTCTCTATGCCAGCATGCCACCGACAGGAATCCCTGACGTGGACCAGAATGCCCTGATCCATGTCCGCACTGCAGTTTATGGACTTGTCAACGCTCCAGCAGTGTGGCGAAAGACAGTCAGACGACTTCTCCTGGAGCTGACCTACCAGGAAAGTGTCTTTGATCCATGCCTGTACTACTTGCCTGCCATCCCGGAGGAAAAGAACGACCCCGAGGACTTCATGGTGGCAGGAGTGGTTTTGCTGGATGTTGATGATTTCTGCCAAGGTGGAAATCAACGCCACCAAGACTTGATGGCAAAGCTGCGCACCCAGCTCAAGTTCGGCAAGTGGAAGAACCTGTATGAAAGCTCAGCCGAATACATTGGCAGAACGCTCACTCAAACCAAGGACTTTGAGATCCAGGTGAGCATGCGCAGGTACATTGAGGAGAAGCTCAAACCTGTCACCCTGGCCAAAGACCGCCTCAAAGATAAGACCTCAAAGCTGACCGAGCAGGAGATCACATGGCTTCGAGGCATGGGCGGCTCACTCCTTTGGATTGGGAAGGAGGCTCGACCTGACGTTGGCGCAGCCTGCGCTATGGCCATGGCTTGGACGGCAGCTGGTCCAACGGTGGAGAACATCCTCATGGCCAACAAGACGGTCGCATAGCTTAAGCAAACAAAAGATGCTTTCCTTCGAGTCCTGCCAATTCCAACAAATGCAGGACTATGGGTGACAGTGGCAGATGCAAGCATGGCTAATGTCGAGAACAAGTCCCAGGGAGGTTTCCTTTTGGCCTTCGCTTGCAAGACCATCATGGATGGAGCGCTGGCAGACTTTAGCATCAACAGCTGGCGCTCGCATAAGCTTCGAAGAGTGGTGAAAGCCACGCTGGGCTCGGAAGCTTTGGCGATGGATGATGCTTTAGCCGAAGCTGAATGGCTCAGAGCACTTTGGCATGAGCTCCTGGACGAGCACAGCACCGTGCTCGATGGCTCGCGACTTGGCTCCTCAGAGTCGCTGATGGTGGTCCGGCTTCCTGAAGGAGAAGAGCCGGAGGATGTGGCTAGCATCAGGGTCATTGACAAGATGACCGGAGCCCATGTCACAGACGCAAAAGCGCTCTACGACTTGCTCAGCCGCAGGAGCGGCAATGCAGGCCAAGACAGAAGAGCTCAGCTGGACGTGGCTGTAATTTGCGTGTCCGCACGCGCACTGAGGTGCAAAACCTTTTGGGTTCCAGGTCAGCAGATGATAGCTGATCCTTTGACCAAGAGGCTAGGCAATAGTGCCTTGCTCAGGAAGGTCATGGCGACAGCCAAATACGGGCTGACGAAGGAAGCTGGTGTCCTGGAGTGACCCCCCCGAAGGATGAGAAACGAGGTACAAAACGACCCAGGACACAAGCTGACTTCAGTTTTCGCCGCGGCCACTGGTTCAATACCAGGGCCCTTGAGCCACCCTTTTGTGGAGAAAAGACGCTCTCCGTCCGCTGTTTCTCAGTTAAACATCGTTCTTTTTGCCGGTGATCCGACCTGCAGGTCTTATTAAGTTCTATATATTCTATAGGTCCCTCCATCCATGATGAGACCAGCTCCAGTCATTTGGACCGGCACCGGTCCATCACATCGATCGTGAACCGAGCTTACCGCAGCCGTTCAGGAGCCGCCTGCACCGGCGTACGTGAAGTTTTCGGGCGAGGCGCGGCTCCCGTTGAACCGCGCGAACGCGTTCCGCGCGCATTTCTGATAAACAGCCCCGCTACTAGACGTTTATCAAAAGTTTTGATTTTCAACGTTTGATGACTTGGCCAGAACTTGGGTTGGCACGGGAATCTGAGATTTGGCACAAGCATCAGTATTTGACTTTCGGTTGTGATAGCCAAATGAAAAGAACCTCTTATGGAGCAGCGAATTCTGAGCTTACGTGGCTAGCTGACCGATACTTAACTAGCTGATTTGTTGTTGGTCACAGTCAAAGCTAGAGGATTTAGAAGATTAGGCAACATTTCATAGCCCCAGTCTATTTGCATGGTTCGTTTCCGTCTCGCCGTCTCCCTTCAGACATCAACAAGCAAGATTTATGGAGCCCGGTGCAGCATTTGTTGGGTCTTCCCTGGAGGAGGTAGAGCATGGTCTTGCTGGAAAAAGCATTGCCAGTTGCAGGTTTACATCTGAACCATCCAGAATCCAATGGGTCACCAGCATAGACCACTACTCTGGCTGTGGGGCTTGGCTCCGATGCTTCTGAATCGGAGCCATCGATCTGCTGCTCAGGGCAACACGCTGGGGGGCAGCTCTTCTTCCACGGCGGCAGTGGAGGACGCCACGGCGGCAGTGGAGTTTGTGGGGTCTCCTTGTGAAGAAATTCATGTCAAAATACGGAACATCTCAGCAAACATATATTATATGGACATGAAATCCTTATTTAGGGAAGATACTATATTCGATCTACTCTTTGGGATGACCTGCTGTTCCAAACAATATGACACCTAGCTGGCGTGTTCCGTCCCGGGCATCCTCCGATGGTCCAAACCCGGCGCCGGATGCTGACCGATGAGTCCGTGGCTTCCTGGTTTGCTGATGTCTTTTTTTAAATCCGCAGCATGGCGGCGTCGGGTCCTACACACCCGTGGCGAGAGCCAATGCGTGTCGAGTCGATAGTTAATGAGTTAGTCTTGAGAATCGACAAATTACTACAAAAACGCATCAAGAAACATGGAGACCAATCCGAAGAAGATAGGGACTCTTCAGGCACTTCAGCACTATAAATTCGCTACCCCCGACCCAGCCACTGTTACTCCTTAGAGGGTCAACGTGCCTACTATGCCAACTCACCCAGTCGACCTGCAGCAGTGCCCACTCTCCAGGCTGACAAAGCATCGATGACGGTCACTTGGCACTGGGGGAAACTCTTTGCAAACTAGTTTGCACTGAAGGGCTTTTTAGGATGTGATACATTGCGATACATACACTTTGGATGTTGTCTTTTTTTTCTGATAACTTCTTGGAGGCAAAAAGACTCAGAGGCAATTTATATTGGCAATATAGTCACTCTATGCTCATCGGTGCACATCAGTACACCCCCCCCCTCTAACAGAGGCAAACCTGGAGTATGCTGGAGTAACGGGTATCGATTGCTGGGGATGGAGAACCTTTGCATCCCTTTCTCAAACCTGGCACATGGAACTGGACGGTGACGCGGACCGTCCTGACGCGGGGGCGAACCGGTTCGCCGCTTCGCCCGTCCCGAGAGGCTCTTTGGGCTCAAAACCACACGTGGCGTGCGTTGTGAACGCCCGAGCGGCACGTGGCGTGCACAAAGCGCACGGAGCCGCACGAAGGGCAGGGAGGTGCGGTGGGCAAGAGAGGGGCGAAGAACGTCAAAAAAAATCGGGTTTTCCAAAAGGCCTTTGTTGATGAATAAATCATTGAATGGGCTTCTGTTTGTGCCCAGGTCCAATTTCATTCCTCCACTCAGCTCGCATACTGCATATGGAGAATCAAGAACAACAATTACATAATATTTTATCATTATTTCTGCTCTGACTATACAGTGGCGAAGAACATCTCCAAAGATCTTGACAACTGAGACATACTGTGATGCAAAAATAACGGGTAGATTTCAATCGGTACTAACCCGTACTTTTCAACAAATACCTTGGGTATTTGAACAACATAATGTTTTCGCAACTCGTGCCAACCTGTGCCAAACCCGTATTGTTCGCGTACTAACCAATGGGTTTTTTGAACCTTCCCATGGCACTTTTTTTTCAAGGATTTTCTTGACCGTTTTGCATGTTTGTTGGTTTATACACACCTGAAAACACGATCATGTTTGTTGTTTATATTATGGGAGGCCTTTCGATGAGTTCAAGCTTGAGAAATTCAGTAGCACATAGCCTGACTTCATGATTTGTTGTGAGCGGAATGGTGAGACAGGATGACAAAGGGGTCAGTGAAGCATCCTGAAAACATTATATTCAAAACCATCGGGTTTTCATAAAAGAAGCATCGTTATTTTTAAACACAGATCCGATTGAATACCGGTTGTTGCTTAAAGTATATATATATATATTATACTCGTCTTCACCGTCTGAGACATGTCGAGGCCAAGTTCCGGCCATGGCGATGGGCCGTGCCATGGGTTCGCGCCTTCGAAGCCTCATGGCGCGGCGGCCAAGAAACCGCACGCCTTTTTTTGGGCCGTGGGTCGGGGGCGCCCGAGGCCTTCTTCAAGTCAACGAGCTTGGAACTGGGTCATCCTGTCGTTTTTGGGCTAAACGCTGGAACTGGGCGAGGGTGGAAACTGAACGGAGTCAACCTCCAGCATTCAGGAAACATGTCTCCGCTCAAGTAGGTGACCTCCAATAGTTCAACTGCCACCCTTACGAGGCACCTGAACCTCTGGCTTGCCAGATGTGTGGAGCAGAATCCGCCGAATCCGCCAGTTTCTCACCAAGCTTCGGAGGAGATGTTCCTCGGTTTTGCCAGGTCCTCGGTCTGGTCGCCACCGTCCCACGGTTCGTTTCCTGGCCGTCTCGGTGAACGAAGGAAGGGCCACCGGTTCGTGTGGCCCAAAGGAGGTTGGTTCATGGACGTTTCGAGTCACCTCATTAAGGCAGGGGCTAACTATGGGCTAAGGGCTTAGGGGGGGCCCGAAATATAATCTATTTGTATGATGATAAGATGACATAAATATATTATGGGCTATAGATATATCATCTAATATCTATTTTTTAGACATTTTATCATCTTACTTTATAGACATCCCTTGTAGGGGCCCTGAACATAAATTGCATTCCCTTTCTATTGCAAAGGCCGAGTGGCAGTCCCATGTCCTTTCAGGCATCGGAATGCATAGCGCTGCCTGGTGCGCTGGCCCAGGATTTGCCGGTGATGCTGTAATTGTCAGAGATCACACAAAGCACTCCAGGTGGTCCAAGAGACCCCAACTGAGTGGAGATCCCTATCCTCCATGGTCCACCCCTTGCGAGTCTCTGCTTGGTCTGGGTGATCTGAGGGGCTCGGTGTCCCATTCATCCGAGAGTGTGGTGGGGGGGGCTGGGGCATTCGATGCCTGGTGTCCCCGTTCTACTCACATCGTTCTCTCGTTCGTTCGGATCAATGCAATGAATTTCTTGGGTTTGGAACAAACATGTGGTGGCTATAGTTCTTGGTTTGTCACACTACCTGTGGTCACTTGCGACACACTGCCTGTGACTTGGAGAGTGCCTAGATCTGAGGAGATCTTGTGAGGGAGTCATTTCTTCTTTGGAACCGCCATTTCTTTCGATGAGAACATGAATCAAATTGAATCAAGCGCAGCCCTTGACTTTCTGCACGGTTCACTTCCTGCACAGTTTGCGATCCGTTCAGGTGCCTACAACGGCCTGATCGGGCGACTGGTGGCCGAGAAAGGCTTCAAAGGCGGTCGGTGATGGCCGTCGACGTCGAGGATGTTGGATGGCCGAAGGCCGAAGAGAAGGCTGTAACCAGTCTTGTCATGATATCTCATCATATGTTTCATCATCATGATACCATCATTGACTCCATCATTGTTTTATGTTATAACCTTTAGTCGTGATAACATCACGTCTCACATATATGTCATGTTGCATTCATTAGCGGTTTCCGATTGCAACTATTGATTTCTTTGTACAGTTGGAGTACAAGATGCTTGGGGAGACATGAGCACTTTGACACCCTTCCTTTCGTTTCTTGGAATCAGATAGCACCACCTGGACTGTCCCGAGTCGAACATTGGACATGAATTCACATACGTTTTCTTACGCAACCCAGCCCTGCTCTTCACCAGTCCGCCTAAAACTTTGTGGCTGCAGTCCGGCTCAGCAATGGGGACAATGGGACACGCACAAATCACTGAAGAGTATTTAAGGGGAATGGTCTGCAGGGGACCCCAATTTAGAAGAGGTCTCTATTGACTACCATTGACATTTATCCACTTTGAAATAGCAGCCACGAACATCAGTGCCAGGGGCACGAACTCAGCGCCCCCAAGCTAGATCTGCAGAACGTCACTCCTCGGAAAAAACCGCTTCGCAGGCACCTACATGAGTGGGGGCGCTCTCTCGGCCAGCAGTGGGGTTCCAGACATAGGCCAACGCGCTCGCGCGCGCACGTGGCGCGGCGTCCAGTCATCAATGTTGGTGGGTGCTTTTTTCAAGCTCCTTTTCAAAATCGTTCGGTCTTGTCCAGGATGGGAATTGCAGATTATCATTAAAGATCTCGGGGATGAGGGGGTGTGTTCCCTCAAGAAACTTTCAGATTCCTCAAATCCTAGGTCCTGTGAGAGATGTTCTCGTGCACGCCATTCGCATCAGTTTGCTTTACACTCCAATTGTGGAATGCTTGTGGTATGGGTCCAAAAATTGGTGAGAGTTCCAGCGCCTGAGGATTTGCCACCAGTGGTACAGACCCAAGCAGTGGAGTCACCAGCTGGATGCTCCTCGATTCCAGGCCTGACCTCCATCGACCAGTTCGCATCCAGGCACCGCGGTGGGTTTTTGGGGGTGAGAGTTGGACAGCCCGAAAAGATCTCAGCGCTTTCCCATTTAAAGAAGGGCTTTGCAATAGATGACGGAAAGCGCTGTAGCGCTTGGAAGTATTACCGAAAGGGAAGGGTGGGGGGGGGGGGGGGGGGCCAAGCTGATGACGGAAAGCGATGAATATCGCTTTGAGTTGTTGGCCGGGAGGTAGTTCCGGGGGCGGGGGGGGTGAAAGTTCGAGGTTTTGATTTGCAGACTTTTGGGGTGTCTTGAGGCAGGTTCGAAGGTGCAAAAAACACTGTAATTTACAGTAAAAAGTTGCTTTGGGTGGATTTGTGTTGAGCTTATTTACCTTCAAAAAGTTGCATTTTACCTGCACGAGAGGCAATTTTTGAGGTTTATCTTGTTATCTCGCATTCGAAGGCTTTGAAATGCAATGTGCATAAAACATTGGAAAACACAGCAAAAAATAAGACTTTTTTGGATCATTAATGCACTGTTTTTTGACAATTTTTTGACAAACTGGGCCCCGACTTCCACAAGGTCATCGGATACAAAAATGACAGAGAAAATGCTAAAAAAGTCGGGGGCGTTCCACAGCACCACTTGCATCACTACGAGGTGCATGGGAGGCGCAAAGATAACAGAAGAGACGGAAACAAAGCAAATCAACTTAAGATGATATTTTTTTGTCACCAAGGCCCACAAGAAGACAGAAAGAGCACAGACGAGACAAAAACAAAGCAAATCAACTTAAAGCAAATCAACTTAAGATGAGAGTTTTTTTGACACCAAGGCCCACAAGAAGATAGAAAGAGCACAGAAGAGACAGAAACAAAGCTAATCAACTTAAGATTTTTGACACCGAGGCCCACTAGAAGACAGAAAGAGCACAGAAGAGACAGAAACAAAGCAAATCAACTTAAGGTGAGAGGTTTCTTGACACCAAGGCCCACAAGAAGACATACAGGGCACAGAAGAGACAGAAACAAAGCAAAGCTACTTAAGATGAGAGTTTTTGACACCAAGGCCCACAAGAAGACAGAAAGAGCACAGAAGAGACAGAAACAAAGGCTAATCAACTTAAGATGAGAGTTTTCTGACACCAAGGCCCACAAGAAGACAGAAAGAGCACAGAAGAGACAGACACAAAGCAAATCAACTTAAGATGCGAGTTTTTAACACCAAGGCCCACAAGAAGACAGAAAGAGCACAGAAGAGACAGAAACAAAGCAAAGCTACTTAAGATGAGAGTTTTTGACACCAAGGCCCACAAGAAGACAGAAAGAGCACAGAAGAGACAGAAACAAAGCAAATCAGCTTAAGATGAGAGTTTTTGACACCAAGGCCCACAAGAAGACAGAAAGAGCACAGAAGAGACA